TTACCTCTGTTTGTGATATTGATAAAGATCATCTCTGGTTACTGCATCTTCTGAGGTTCACTTCAAAATACCTGATGTTGAGAAATTGGCAGTGATGCAGTGAAGAGCTGTGTGGAAGATTTAATAGTTCAAAGGCTTCCAAGGAGAGGTTTCCTCCATCTCATTTATGTGGACGCTGGGGACGTGATGGCGGGCTGGGAGTGTGGGCAGCGATACCGGAGAGCGGAGGATGCTTTCATCTGCCAGCAAAAGTCCTAATGAGATCAGATGCCTAGAAGCAGAAGCTGGACAAATTCAGATTAGAAGCCGGGTGCAGTGTTTAAAGAGAGGTTAATTAACTGTTGGAATAACTTAGCCGCGGTGAATTTACTGACGCTTGAAGTCTTCAGGTCAAGCTGAAGTTACCTGACCTGATGCAGAGGTTTCTGGGAGAGGGTTGAGGGACGAAATTTGGAATTTAGTTGGGGTTTTTTCCCCCTGGCTGGCCTGTTCCTGTGGGCTCAGGAGGGGCCCTGAGGAGCCATGAAGGGCTCTGAGGAGCCACGAGGGACCCACCAGACCCCTGTGGCACCCACAGGCCGGCTCCCTAAGAGCAGGGCGAGCCGAGGAATCCTGTGACAGCGGCGCGTTAATATGATTAATGACAAAACTTAATTTGCACGGACAGTTCATTCTCACACAAAGGAGCGCTCGCAAATTAAGAGGCTTTGTGGCCGGTGGAGGGGATCTCTCCGAGGACCAGGATGGCTCCGGCGGGGAACAATGAGCGGGGTTCGGCGGAACAATCGGTGCACGGTGCGCGGATGAGATTTTAATGAGATTTCCGAGCAGTGACAAAAGTTGGAAGCGTTTAATAGCCGGCCGCTGAATTATGCATGCGGCCTGGGCCGGGGACAACGCCGCTGCAAGGCGGTGGGCGGCCGCCAGGGGGCAGCAGCGCCACGCCGCAGGGCCGCCGGCTGCCCGCCGGCCTCAGGGCGGGGAGAGCCGAGGGACCCACCAGGCCTGACCCCCTCCTGAGGCACCCACAGCCCGGCTCCCTGAGAGCAGGGCGAGCCGAGGAATCCTGTGACAGCGGCGCGTTAATATGATTAATGACAAAACTTAATTTGCACGGACAGTTCATTCTCACACAAAGGAGCGCTCTCAAATTAAGAGGCTTTGTGGCCAGCGGAGGGGATCTCTCCGAGGACCAGGATGGCTCCGGCGGGGAACAATGAGCGGGGTTCGGCGGAACAATCGGTGCACGGTGCGCGGATGAGATTTTAATGAGATTTCCGAGCAGTGACAAAAGTTGGAAGCGTTTAATAGCCGGCCGCTGAATTATGCATGCGGCCTGGGCCGGGGACAACGCCGCTGCAAGGCGGTGGGCGGCCGCCAGGGGGCAGCAGCGCCACGCCGCAGGGCCGCCGGCTGCCCGCCGGCCTCAGGGCGGGGAGAGCCCCCCCGCTCCTCCATCCCTCCCTCCCCGCCGTCCCTTAAACGCGGTTTAGCTGCCGCAAAAATAAAGTTACACCAGACGGACAAACCGATTTCCACCCCCGCGGCCCTAAAATTGTCGTGGGCTGCCAGGCCGGGCCGAGGAGTGTGGCGGTTCAGGCGTGGGCCCGCCCCTGAGGGGCAGCACCGGCCTGCGGGCCTGGGGCAAGCTGCCTCGGTGGGATTTCACTGAATTTCACTGAATACAGGGGTCTTTGGAGGGATGTTGCTAAATATCTGTCCCGTTTCTGGGCGTTTAGCCGTGAAATGGGCATTCTGTGTTAATGCGCTGATGTGTAACAGGTGGAACTGGCCAGACGGGTGTTCGCTCTTGCATTTTCCTCGATTTTTATCTCTAATTCCCTTCAACCTCGAACAGCAGCGCTTCACAAATGCATGTAGTGACCAGACTAGCTCTTTCTTTTTTTTTTTTATCCCCTCTTCTAAGAAATCACAGATGTTTTCTCTCAGTTCTTGAGTGGGTCATAAGAGTTTAATAGGGCTGACAGTGGGGTTGAACTCCCCATCTGGCAAATCACCCTCTGAAGTTCGTGGTGCCCCAATACTTGCTCCCTTCTTACCAATTGCTGTGCAGAAAAAGAGTCTTTTAAGGGATGTGCTTGTATCTCTATTTTAAGGGAGGAATTACTGAAAAGGGAGAAATTAAGGCCTTTTCAATATTTAATGGATGGAGGGTTTCTAAATTATTTAATAGCTTATTATAAAAGATGGCATAAAATGGTTTAGTAATTTATTCTTTACAGAAAGTAGCCGTAAGAAGTATTTTACAACATGTAAATATTAGTAGGAAAAGTACCTAATTTAAAATGCTATCTTATTCCATCTGTCAAAGGAATTATACAGTGCCCATACAATTTTCAAATAACTTTAGACCTTTATTGTTTCTGTTCTTGAAACACTTTCCCCGGTGTGAGGAAATGCTATTTATCCCCGTTTTACCCAAGTGCAGAGGCACAGAGACAGACTGTGCGGGGACTGAGGCACAGCAGATCTGACCATTGCAATTCCCTCTAAATATTGGAACCCACAGCCTTAACTGGGGCTCGTGGCTGCCCTAAAAACTGATATCAGAGAGTTTTGTGGCCTGAAGTGGGGTCTGGTGTGATTAAGGTGCAAAACATGAGTTGTTCATGGCCAGCCCATGCATAAATACCGCAAGCGGAGCCCTTCACCATCTCCTCCTTCCTTCTTTTCTCTTTTATAGCTTTGCTAGAGATGGAATTGGGAGCTCAGTTGCCTCCTGGATGAAGTTCACTGTATAAAAACGACCCCTTTTTTCACAAGATGACTTTCCATGGGTAACTTCTGTTCAAATCCCTCGTGTGTAAATTAACCCTGCTGTGTTGAAGTCAAGGACTTCATCCACAGAATTCTAGCTGTTGCCAGACGTATTGGGGCCTCTTGGGAGGTGACACTGGTTTGTATTTTGTTGAAAGCAGCACTGGGTTTGCTCGCAGGTGGCTGGTGGGAGGACTGGTGGCCTCGCCGGCCCCGCTGCCCCAGCGCAGCTCCTGGTGCAGGAGGTCAGGAGTGATTTGCTTGTTTGTGCAGCCTGTAAATAAGCAGCTCTGCTTTGCCGAAGTGATGCTGTGCCCCGAGGTGAGGCAGGCACCAGCACAGCTCACAAAATCTGCACAAAACAGGGTTTTGCCATGAGAAGCCTGGAATTCCTTTTACTGTTATTAACCAGGTGAGCCTCTTGCTTCTCTTCTGATCTCCCTCCTTTATTGAAATAAAGCAGCTGAATCTCAAGAGTTAAGGTTGCGCTGTAGGAGTTTGCCTTACGCTCCCCTCAAACAAGCCTATTTTCTTAAGAAATATCACTGCCTGGAAGGCATCAGAAAGCCCTTAGATATGCTGGTGGCTGTATCATCTGCTGCTTTTACTGAATCCGTTTAATTAGAATGAGTTAGAATAATCAATACTTCCTTGTCTTTTACCAGTCTTTAACATATGTTTACAGAAAAGGTTACACAAAAGTTAGTATTTAGCTGTAGATGTTTTTTTCTTCTCTAATAAAAATTATGGAACAGATAAGCACTAAAACCTGAGTGAGTATATTGCAATATTGATTTCTACAAGAGCACTGTAAGAATATATTTATCTATCTGTCCTATTATGAAATGGGTAAAAATGTACGATACAACCATTTCAGTCATTCAATATTATATTGAAAAGCCTGTTTGTTTGCTTTTTCTCAATAGGCCTTTTAAGGCACACTGATTTTTTTTATTTTATGTGTATTTGTGGAAGAAAGGATTAATGGAGAATGGCAGCGCTTTGTCTTAAAACACCTCTTTGCCCACATTTTGTTTTGATTAGAGCTGTTGCGTTGTGCTTTTGGCTCACTCTGAAACTCTCCACATTGGAAAGCAAAGACAGAGTAAAGTGTGATTAATTATAGATTGCTAGGCTGGTACCTCTTTAGTTCCAGCAATTATTCTATTTTCTCATGGTGACCTGAACAGAAAGGAGCTGAGTGTATTGAGCCAGGGCCTTTCCTGTCTTAAGCTTCTGAAAGGTGTCTGCCTGTGTGCTTTTATGACTCCAGAGATGCTTTGCTCTCCAATGTGATAGTGTAATTTTGTGTTTCTTAAAAGCAAATTTCTAATTGATCGGAGGGAGAGTGAAATGAAAAGAGTGGTGGAAGAAGATGAGAAAAGGTTGTTGTGATCACTCCGTAGGTGAAGACCACATTATTATTACTCTCACAAATGGCACTGTGTTGTGTTTTCAATAGCAGAAGGTCAAGTTGAGCCCAGGGATAGAAGTGAGAGAACAAACATAAACAATGAAAGCGAAGAGACTTGAATGCCTATGAAATGGAGTGTTTGAGCTCATTATTCTGTGGAACGTGTGTCAGTACTGCTGCAAAAGAGGCTCCATATAGTGATTTCAAAGTGTAGCTTCTGGGTATAGGTGGGCTGAGTGTGAGATGCGATGCTGGAAGCAAGTAGAGATAAAAGTGTCAGAGGGTGCTGGAATGTATTGATCACACAGACAGGATCCTATGGATATGACCCTACAGACCCTCTGCTCCCGAAGCAGTGATACTCCAAAAGTCTTGGCCAAATCTTTATGTAGACAATGAAAGATTTCCCCCCTGTCTTTAATAATCTCTGGTTCAAACTGCTGGAGGTTTCACATAATCATGTGGAAATCTGTCTGCACTATTGATGTCTTAGATCTTACAGCTTTCGCAGCAGTTCAGCGGCGAGAGGGGGCATAACTATAAGGACACAGTGAACTGTGCACATTATGTTTGTAATTTCCAGTATAGTGAACTCTGCCTTTACTTAATGTAGTGATATTTCAGAGCTGCCTTATCACAGTTTCTCTGTGTTCTTGGAAAGAAGTGAAAAGAGCAATATGACTGCTGCCTTTTGCCTTGGATTGCACTGTAGATGGCACTGTGAAACAATGATTTTTTTGGTAACGAAGATCTATTTCACAGTACCATTCCAGACGTTAATTGCAGTGTAATATGGCTTTCTTTCTAGGTCCCCAAAGTCAAGGAAAAATTCTGAAATGCAGAAAGGCTTATTTGCTGCCGCAAATGGGAATCTGGAATAACTATGAAAAACACACTGAAATAATTGTGTTTGACTGGAACAAAATTCTTGCAAAGTCCCCAAGGTAAGAGCACTTTTTATCTTTGAAATGACACTGAAGATTTGCTGTTCTGGTTAGCAACAATATCCACTTGAATCCAACAGAGAATGAAGGCTTGACATTTCTGAAAGTGGCAGCCCACTGACGCTGAAGGGCTCAGCACCCCTTCCTGCATCTGTCTGCCAAATTTTATTCTTTCCCTGCCTTTTTAAAGATCCCCTTGTATTTCTTTATATTAGCGGGCTGAAGGCTTGTGTCCTGTTACCTGCAAGGCAGCCTGAAGTCTGCAAGTGTTGTATTATTTTAATGGCACTGGATATAACTGAATTGATGCTTTGTAGCGACACACTTATTCCTGAGCTTGAATACACTTCCAAAGGGGTAGGGTTACCCTGTTAACCTGATGAAGCCTGTTTTCATGTTCCCTGTCTAACATCAGGGCTGTGGCTTCAAAAGAGTCAAACTCATAATCTGGGAAAGGTTTTGAAATGAGGTCAGCACACAACCATTTCCACCGAGAGCAGCTTTGCTCCTGTGCTGGGAATGGTGGAAACACCTGGCTTCACTTACATGCTGAAAGAGCAGCTGTTGAGCATGTGGTGCATGATTTGGGACTAAATACCTGTCCCTTCCATCAACTCACACCAGAAAGGGCATGCTCAAAATGTCTCATCTGTGATATTTAATTCCAAGGGTTAAATCCTTCTTTCAGTCGCACCTCAGGAAACCTGAAGGAAGATCCCTGTGTTCATTATGATACTACAGAGTGACACCAAAGCTGGGGTCTCCACTGATATATGGATCAGATTCCTGTGTTTACACTTAGAGCAGCAGAGGGATGGTATTGCAAGATGAGCAGATGATGACTTCCTATTTAGTGGTAACTGGTGCATGAGGTGTAAGCCCTGTGTCTCTCAGAGAGAGAGCAAGAAAACTAAGGTTAAATTCAGCTCTCTCCTCAGGAAAACGAGGTTCAGTTACCTGGGGAAGATCTGGGTGACTAAAATCTGAACTGGTAGGTTGATTTCAGAGCTTATTAGTCCTTAGACTAATATTGGATCAACAGCAATAATAACAACATTTATGCTGGTTTCACAGTGACTCAATCCCATTAGCTGCAGTAGCATTATGTGGTTCAGCTGGGTGCAGGAGGTGAATTAGGTCCATGCTTATTAGCTGAAGTGTAGCTGCTCTGAATTAGCCTGGGAGTGCTCCTTAAGAGGATACTTGTAGGGTAGACAAGGGCCAGTGATGTCTTTATCTTCTGGGCTTGACTCACTTGCAGAAGTCTCCTCTATACTGCTGCAAAAGAACCTTAGTGTGTTTATGTACTGGTTCATTTGCATTCAAGGTGACAACTTATTGGGCTCAAACCAGCACCTTCTTTATGCAAGAAAAGGTACCTTTTTTTGCCAAATCAGTCCTTAAAATGCAGCAGCTTTACATGTAACTAAAAATTTCTTAAATCTGTAGACATGGTGAGTTATTTTTTAGCAATATTTATGTAGCTTTTTAAAGACATTTGCAGGCTGTAGTAAAGTCTACAAGGACAGCTGAAGGTGCTGGGTTTTTCACCAATGTGTTTTTTTCTCAAGTCTAAAATAATGTTTGTCGCTAAAATATATTTACACAATAGGCTTTTGGTCTCAACTTTTGATATTAATAACTGCGTTTGTGATTTGTTTGGGCTTTATCAACATTCGCATTCATACACAATGAGAGAGCAATTGGTTTGAGATGTGCGAAAGGGAAAATCACGCAAGCACTTTTAAATGAGAAAACATGGGATCTGTTTTAGTTTTATTAGTAGATGGTTATCAAATTTAAAACAGGATCAAAGTGCTTCACCTGGCTTTTTTTTTTTAAAAAAAAAACTAGCAGTCTATTCAGCACTTGAATATTGGATATGCTGAATAGTTTCAGGTATTTTAAAGATACACAAATAAAGAAATTATTAAGAAAATGCTTGAAAGAATCAGAACTGGCAACTGCAGGGGAAAGAAATTCCCAAAAGACTTTTTGGTGCAAGAAAGCGTGCTTATGATAGGCTTGCTGAAATCCCAGCATGCTGATTAACAGCAGACTAACATCACTGGTATGAAAGCAGTATTTAGTTCAATTTATGCAAATCTATAAATTGCCTTTAATTAATTTGATGTATTCCTGCTTACAGCATTTGCTGAAAGTGTGGAACACTGTATCTAAGAGTTCAACTACATAATGCCCATTTATGTATCGCATGAGTAATAAATCATCATAACTGAGTTTAAGAAAATGATTAGATTACCTTTCTATATGATGAATGGCATAACATAAGCTATTGAGAGATTTAATTGTAGATATTTGCAACAAAATTACTGGGGATTTGGGGTCTTAGTTCTAACACTAACATGAGTGTGACTAACAACATCCACCTTCGTTAGAACAACTGTTCTCTGAAATGCAGTTTCTAACACCCTGGCAGAGCAGCGAGTCCTTGCAGATTTGACTGAGGTGCTGGTTTTGTGGGAGTTTAACCCTCAGCAAACTCACTGATCTCCAGGAAAGGCAGCCGATGTTGTGGGCTTGGGAGATCCAACCAATTCACCTGCACAGCTACATGGGAGCTGGTAGCTTTATATCCTGAGAAGTATTAATAAAAAGGATACTTTTCTGTGATGTTTCTATTATTTTGAGGCAGGTGCAGTTTAAAAATAGTAACACAACTTAGAAATGTGTATATTTAGATTTGAGTGTGGGTGGATCTTAATCAACAAAACCCCAAACTCAACCCCTTATCTCAGACTCGTAGAAATGTATTGTACTCATAATGTGTTGTTATAAATATGTGTTGGTGGGTGATAGGATCTGTGATAGCCATTGCATTGCTTCTAATTATAAAACATGCTTTAAAAAGAATTGATCCCAACTGAACCGTGAATATGATTTTGTCAGACTTGCCTTGTAATAAGCCATATTAGTTATTCTTCAGCATCTTAGCAGCTTTTCCTTCCCCGCATCATTTTTATGTTATTCCCTACTCACATTGTTCTTTCACTCAACTGCTTCCTTTTCTGCCTCCAGGATGAGATTCTGTGCCAAATCAATGCTTCTGTCTGACTGGCTCTTTCTGGTCTATGTGTTAATGGTCTGCTGTAAATTGTTGTCCGCCTCTAGCCACCATCCCCGGGGGCACACAGGTAGGAGCTTTTAAACTCATTATATGCTACCGAGACCAATTAATACTGCTCGCAGAATGTTAGAGCCCACTTCTTAGCAATGGATAATTGATGAGGCTGTTGACAGCATGTTATAATCAGTGCAATGGGTTAAAAATACAACAACAACAAGAAAAAATGAGTTATTGTAAATTTTCATGGCTTTTCTCTAGTAACTTTATGTACTGAAGCTCACCAGGGAGTTTTCTGAGTGACTTCATGACTGGTAGGGCTTTGGGATTTGTTTGTGTCCTTTTGCTTTATCCTTATCCAAAGATATTCTGAAATGTATCTTTATCTTCCCCCTCTTAATCCAGTTGTTATCAAGAGACTTTACAACGGTATCATTGGCTTTGGTGGGCAATAGATCAAAGCTCTCAGACTGACATTAGCCAGTTCTCTCACTAAGAAACACAAACATTGAACTGTGGTGTAGTTCAGCTTGTGGTATGTTCCTTCTTTTCCTAACCTGAGGCAAACAAAAATACTGCATTTAAGAGGATGTGCAGGGTATATCTACCAGGCACAATGTTGTGTCTCACTATAAATGACAGAAATAGCTCAGAACAAGCTGAGTTGGCTTTATGAAGAGATACCAGGCTGGATCTTCGAAGCAAACATCTCTGTGCTAGGATCATGCAGATACACCAGCTTGAATGCAGAAAGAAATATAGATGTACTAGTGCTAATGCAAAGATATCAGTGCAAGTCCCAAAAGAGGGGCTGAGTTAGCCCCATGTCACCTTTGATCCCAGGAGAGAGAGAGAGGGGTAAGTTAACAAAGTACCACCTGCTTTTATGGAGAAGTCAAAAGCCTGGCTGCAATGCCATGATGAGACGACTGCATTCTCAGTGCCATAATTAGCTTCAGGCTGGTTTGGGGATGACTGCAAGTGTTGCTATTTGTGACATAGTCTCATTCTTAAATTAGGTGTAATGTCTTAAATCCCTATGTAATGTTCTTCGCTCTGAGCCAGACTCTTGTGGGTCTGGGTCCACTTGCACCTCCACTTCTTAGCACTGAGGTGATTGTTAGAAGCTCCATCCTCCAGATGAGACAACCTATTGATCTCTTTCTTGGCTGCTTCTGGTGATAGTCTAGGTAGGAGCTGAAAGCTCCTCATGTGCTTGCCAAAATGTCTTCAGTCCTGTACGTAGGACTGACTGTGACCTGTGTGTAGCTGCTGTGTCTACATGCTCACAGCACACCAGCAGGGTGTGTGTCTAAGAGTTGCACAAAACATCTCCTTGCCTTGCCCCATCACCAGCAATGTGTTCCCCGGTGCTGTGGAGCACTTGGGTGTGTTTGCTGTAAAACATGGTGACAGGTTATGAAGAATAACTGACATTGCAGCAAAAGCCCATAAAGTGATTCCAGAGAATACAGTGTTAGAGCATGATACGTATTATGTTTTTCAGGTAGATGTTATGGAAACTAGTTGCATCACTTCACTGAGGAAGGGGGTCTATGCACAGTGACAAGTTAATTAGGCCCTTTTGACCTTTCTTGTAAACAACTGCTGCTTAGCAGAGTATTTCAGAACTGACTACGCAGCAAAACCTGGAGAACAGCCTTCTGCAGCTTTTGGCATTCAGGGAAGAGTCTTGTAAAAAGAAATGTTAGTTTTGTCTTTTTAAGATGCAGTTTGCATGTGTACCTAAGGGAAATACCTGTAATAAGGCAGTAGTGATCCTATGTTGTGGGCTCATATGATGAACGCTCGTCATGTATTATGTAAATTATGACAATCTTTTCAACATAACATTTCAGAATGCTTGACTGCATACTTTTAATTGACAGCAAGAATTCTTTCCCCTGTATCAAAGAGATACTGTACACCATCAAGCTGCTCGACTGTTAAGCAGATTTGCATACTGTGCTTTCTCTGGTAGGCTAAAAAAAGGTTCCGCTCTTCATGAATAGTTTGGTCAGATTACGGAGCTCTTTTTCAAATAGATACCCTGAAGCCGGAGCCTTCATGCACCTTTTTAGACTGTGGTGTCATATTCTTCCCCAGATGTGAGTTTCTTTTTTGTGTACACTGAAGTCACCCCTGTCACACTCAATGATTCCATGTAGCAGATGAAATAGCCCATTTTTGATTCTCCATCTCCCTGTGTCTGACATATGGCACCATAGAGCATTTAGAGGGCTTGGGGGGGCTCTCCTCAAGGGGCCTGCATTTCCCAGCCTCAGCTTATCTTTGCTGTTTGATACAACACCCAAATTGACCTTCTAGTATATGATCAGATCTGTGGTGGAATCTGATATGTGAGCAGGACAACATCTTGTTCATCAGGAAAGCACATAATTTGGAGCTTTTAGTGCAGCCTGTTACATTTAATGCAAATTAGATGGTCCTTGGATGACAATTGAGATAAAATTTTTGCAGTCAATAGACAACATTAACATTTTTCCAAGTAAAAAGTCCTGAAGCCCATTAGAGGGATGAACTCAAGCTTTGGGTTTGGCAAAGACTTTGTCCTGTGTCCCTTAGGTCAAGCAGCTGTAACCTGATGGGTAGGTACTGAGATGGGAAATACATGCATGAGGTGCCTGGCCTGGTGTACTTTAGGAGGAGCTGGGTTTTAAGAACATGCTGTGTCTGCTCCTGAAAATCAGCGTGTTTCAAGCTTGTACTTAAAACTTGACATCGTAGTCACTTTTGACAAAATGCTTACTCATTAAAGATAAGAAAGTTGATTAATGAAGACAACAGAATTTAAGATGAAAAAGAGTGGGAATTGACTGTTTTCTTTTAAAAATATGGCTGTTTTTAAGGACCCTAATCTGGGAAAAGACAATTATTGACTTTGGTCATGTTAGATAGTGCCTGAAAGAATGGCATTCGACAGCTGTCTCTGCAATATTCAGACAGGGACAGATATTACATCTTTAAGGACCCAATAACCATTCTGTTTCTGAAAAGTTGGAGAGAATGCCATTGAGCAAACCTTTGACAAAAAGGGCCTCTTCCCTGTAATGAAGTGTAAAACATACTTGGTTCTTTCTTTTGTTCTGCAAAATATTCACCATCATCAAATAATTGTTAGTGGAGAAAGAGACTCTTCAATCTAGCAAGCCAGTCCTGCCATTGCTTTGAAGCAGCATGGATCTTGAGCCCAGCTTGGAGGCCACAGCATATTTTTCATTTGAATGCTGTAATTGCTTTGACTGGCAGAGTTAACTAGGCAGTAGGTAGAGGAAAAATGTTCCTTCTCATTACCAGTAGATCACTGAAGATGCTGCTTATGCAGATTATTTCAGCAGGCTCCCCGTGTATCTGTGTAGAGTCAGAACATTCATCTGACTGTTGCTCTGAATTACCCTTTTGAAGAGTTTGTCTTTTGCACTGACAATAGCTGAGGGAAGCATAAGCACCAACCTTACTACAGCTATTTAAAATTGGGCAGTATTTCAGGCTCCCAGAGTACCTAACTGATACCGATATAACTATCAATTCCATGCTGTGCTGAATGAAGCAACATACATTTAGTACCAGGAAAGATTTGTTTTCACCTCACTGCTGTAAGTCAGGATCCAGGCATGATGAAGCGTTGAAAAGACACTTCCTTGGGTCACCTCACGTGGGGGCTGGGCTTGTGGACCATTAATTGGTGTAGCCAGCTGAGCAGTTTCTGTCATGAATTACCAGTGCAGCTTGGATTTTTTGGGGCTGCTGTGTTTTATTTTTATGTGATGATGCTCACCTGAAATGCTTCCAGCTTCCTTCTGCTTGCTGAAGGGTTTACATTTTTGAAAAGTCTGTAACTATTAACATGCCTTGAATCCATATATTTAATAAAGATCTGTAGCTTAAAGCAGGACCAAATTTGTCTCTGAATTGTTTTACCTAGTTCATGTTTTCTCTTTGGATGTCAAGTGAAGATTTCAGTGGTAACCCTAATGGTTTCCTTGCTCATTGTCCCTGCAGGATGATAGGGATAAATCACTGTATTTTGAGTGTGCACTAGGACAGCTTGGTCTTTTAGCCAACTGGAGGAATAAGTAGCAACTTCTTTTCATGGAGTTTATTCCTTGTTGCACTGCAGACAGTTTAATTTACAGAGTTATCAGAGGTTAAATGGGAGAAGTCTTGTTAAAAATGTCAGTGGCAAGCAAATAAGCATGACTGTAGAGATTGGGAATTGGGTTCAGGAGGGAATTATCACCAGCCTGAGCTGTTGTAAACTCTACAATTTGCTTAGTGAAATCCAGCTGGAAATTTGTAATTTGCTGCCTTACATCTTAGAAGTGATCTCCAGCATCTGGGATACTGTCTGGTTTTCAGAGGGCCGGTGATTTCCATAACGTGTGAAAGATGAGCTGCTCTTGTAGACTCTGCTGAGCAGGGCCTGAACTAGGACCTGAGATAATTTTCTGGGGTTCCATGAGTGTTCTCCTTTGTTTTCTTCTGATTGATGCTTCAACAGGGAGAGACAGATGTATGGAAAGGCTCAGCAATCTGAGTGAATAATGCAGCAGTGTGCTTGATGCAGACGACAAAGACTCTCTTCGTTGCTGCTCCCTTTCTGCCCTTGCTGTGGCTCAGACAAAGCAGTCTTTTCAAAACCCATCTCTCTCTCCCTTTTTGTCCCTTTTTTTGATTGCTTTCTGAAGAGGTGCTGGTCTAACCAGTGGGATGGTCAAAGTCACTTGTTTGTCACAGAAACAGACCTCCTGTCATTGGGCAGTGGCAAGTATTGTATCTGCATGGACCTGAGGCTAAGATCTACCCTTGATGGACAGCAGACCCAGACCTGCTGAAGGCAGTACAGAGGGTATGTGTTGAACTAGGTCTTTAATAATTCTGCGTCTCAAACAGCAAAGAGAAGTCAGTACCCTGGGGGAGTGGAAGAATGTCACCAGCAAACCTAGTGACCACTCTGACTTACTGGGAAAGTACACACTTCATTGCCCTCTGTTAGGTACCAAGAGAGGAACAGCAGCCTAGAACAGGAAAACCTTGATGAGTTGTCAG